CTCCCTGTGTCCAACCTGGCCTTGAACACTGCCAGGGATGGGGCAGCCACAGCTTCTCTGGGCACCCTGTGCCAGCGCCTCAGCACCCTCCCAGGGAAGAGCTTCTGCCTAAGAGCTCATCTCAGTCTCCCCTCTGGCAGGTTCAAGCCATTCCCCTTGGCCTGTCCCTACAGGCCCTTGTCCCAAGCCCCTCTCCAGCTTTCCTGCAGCCCCTTTAGGCACTGGAGCTGCTCTAAGGTCTCCCCTTCAGGAGCCTTCTCTTGTCCAGGCTGACCCAGCCCAGCTCTCTCAGCCTGGCTCCAGAGCAGAGCTGCTCCAGCCCTCTCAGCAGCTCTGTGGCCTCCTCCAGACTTGCTCCAGCAGCTCCACATCCCTCTTGTGTTGTTGGCTCCAAAGCTGGTCAGGACTGCAGGAGCGGGGGTCTCACCAGAGTGGAGTCACTTATGGACCCTGCCTGAATGCTGGTCTAGGGAGGAAGGCTCCGTGTATCATCATTCTGCTGCTGCTGCTGCAGCAGATGACCATAGGGCATGGGCACACTCCTCTACTCTCCAGGGCTGGCCAATGATGAGCTACAATAAACCAGGCCCTTGCAGGAATCTATCCACCTCTAGCAGTTGTCCGTGGCCCACCCTCATTTTTAAGCCCACCCTGGGCTTAAAAAGAAGCAAACAACCCCCCCCTCACTCTCCCATACTAGCTTAATTAGGCAATTAGCCTGTTAATGAAGTACCAGAAGTATAAAACCACTTTAAGTAACACAGGTAGCAAAGAATCAAGGTTTTGAGGAGTGTTTCTGTAGAAGCTGGGGGTAAGCAGTGCTTTATAGCCAATTCTTTTGGTATGTAACTTTCATTTCTCTAACATTTCTCACAAACTGATTTAAGTTACCTTTAAGGGAAAAGGTACTTTAGCTTTTAAAGAAAACTTTCTTTCTGACTATACAACTCTCCTTTACAGTAAATTTAAGAGCTTTTTATTGCTTCTTTTAATGTGTTCAGTGTAAAAATGGTTTTGGACTGCAGTGGCTGTTTTCTCCACCCCTGTCCCCTTTAGTGGTGCCTGGAAGGCAACTGCTGAATGAGCTGGTGGTGAGAACCTCCATCCCTCCCAGGTAGAGGAGGAGCAGTGTATGGCAAGGGGCCTGCCTGGAGGACCTATCTAAGAGGGCCTCCCTTGGTGGCCTGTGTGGGCTGTGGGACCCCTTCAGGTCTGGGGGAGAGGGGGGGGGTATCATGTGTGGGACTAAGGGTAAGATGAAAGCTGCTTCTCAGCCTCTCCCATCATTAACTAGAGCCTGGGTTTAGCCCCTCCCACAAAGGGACTTAAGGAATGAGGACAAAGTGCCTTAATTCTGGGGAAAACCTGCCACCTCTTAGTAACACTAACAGGTAGAGAGATTTACTGAGACTCTCTATACCCCATATAAAGCTAAAAGTAGTGGTATATAGGATGAGGCTGAATGAATACAACTCTATGGAAGCTCAATTATGACCTTTAAGCAACAAGCAGGCTGTGGTGCAAATGATTTGCTCTACAAGACAGTGACAGGCCAGATGACCACCTACCTATCCTGGAGCCTGCTCAGCTCCTCAATTTCCAAAGCAAGACTGAGACAGAGTGGTCCTGCTACTCTAAGCGTACAATTTGTTATTGAACAGTAATGAACAGTAACCTCTTTGTTCTGACAGGGACGTGCTGATCTCCATAAACCTGACAGTGGTGGGACTCTGCATCATGCTGTCCACCAAGAAGCATGGTACCAACATCCTGACCATAAAGGAAATCCTAGAAAATGCATTTGTGGCAGTACCTTCCAGCCATACCCATTCTTCTCCTGTCTGCACTTACTACATGGACTCCAGCAGTGCTTCCAAACCAGACGCAAGGAAGCTTCCCACGGACTTGGACAACATAACAAAAGGCAGTTCCCTGTGTGTTGTTAAGCAGTTGGAGTCTCTGAGCAGCTGTGGGAAGCCTGACCTGCACAGCCTGACCCAGGGCATCTCTGACCTCAGCCTCACCTGATTCTGCAAGGCCCCCCCCCCCCTCCCCCCACAGGGAGGCTGCCTTTGACTTGTCCACTTTGCCTGGGGAGCAGCACAGCAGAGCTGGCTGCCTGATGGATGCGCTGCTGCACACCACCTCAACGCCATGCAAGAAAGCAAAGCATTCCAACCCCCTGGGGAGCCTGCTCTCCAAGAGCACGGAGCTCAGCAGTGACCTCTCAATCCCTGGGAAGCTGCCAGAACCCACGTGGGAGATCTCAGCAATGAAAGCCCCCCTGGATATCAGCCTGTCCCTGGATGCGAGTACCAAGGAGCTGAGGTTCCAGGGATGCTCCAGCCTGGACACACCATCCCTGGAGACTTCTCTGGTAATTCCTCTGTCTTGGCCTGGTGCCTTCAGGAGGCCACCTGCATTGACCTGCACATCTGACACCCCCAGTGCTCAGCTGAAGGACCTGGACCCTGTCCCTGTGTTTCTGCACCAGGCTCCATGAGGCTCCCCCGGCTCCTCGCTGCAGTGGTAGCCTGTGGGGTGACTGCCCGTGGACCCGCCCCTCCTCCCCGACCACACTGACCTCTGTATTAACGCAATAAAGGTGTGAGCTTCAGCCCGGGCCGGCTCTCTGCTGCTCCAGGCCTAAGGCTGAGCTCTGCTGAACGCGGGCGCTGGGCCGGCTAGGGCCCTGCTGCCGGCGAGCGCAGCTGTCCCCAGTACCTTCCCCAACCCGTGAGGGGAGCCCGGGCAGACCCCGCGGCCCCTCTGCGCCCGAGCCTGCCGCGGAGCCGCCACGAGGCTCGGCGGCCGCTGAGGGAAGGCAGGCGTCGCGACAAGATGGCCGAGCCCCGGGCGGGCAGCCCCCGGCTGTGCTCCCGCGGCGCGGCCCCACCCGCCGTTACCTGTCAGAGGGGCCCAGGAGGTCTCTGTGACGGACGGGGACCGGAGCCCGGCGCTGACCTCCGCCGTCGGGCCATGGCGGCGCTGCCCACGGGGAGCTCGGGCAGGGAGGCGGCGCGGCTGGGGATCCCTCTTCTGGCCCACGGGGAGAAAAGCATCCTGAGCGCCGGGGACCGGCCGGGCAGCGGCACCGCACCCCCGCGCCGCTCGGCACAGGGGAGGCTGCGGCCTCCCGGGGAGCAGCCGCGGCCGCAGTCCTGCAGCGGGTCTCCCTCCGCTCGGGCTCCGCGCAGGTTCATCCTCGCCCCAGCTGCCGGCCCGGGATCGCTCTGCATCGGCCACAGCCCGGGCTGAGAGGAGGCACCGAGCCCGCCCCGACCGCCCCCCCACACGGTCTCTTGCTCTCCTGTCAGAGCTCCCCGCCTCGCACAGCCTCTGCCCGCCGGGCCTCTTCCTTCTCCTGTGGCTGCTTACAATGGCCACAGACCTGGGGAAATTACTTGTTAAAACCATGGCCCAGGGCCTTTATGGTTTGCTCCGTCTTCTTCTAGGGATAGATTAAGAACAGAATCATCACAGAACCATAGAATGGTTTGGGTTGGAAAGGACCTTAAAGCTCATCCAGTTCCAATCCCCTGCCACGGGCAGGGACACCTTACACTAGAGCAGCTTCCTCAAAGCCCTGTCCAGCCTGGCCTTGAATCACATTTGTCACACTCGCATGACCAAACTAAGCATTTCTGTTTACCGAATGAGTTTAAATACTTCCAGGGGGACAAAGGGGTAACTTTGAAAGAGATGCAAGCTATTTCCTCCACATGCATTTCACACTAGAACTTCTGGTCAAAAAAACATCCATTCAGTGAAAAATCTCTTACTTCAGCTGTTAAGAGGCACTACAGACAAATAGCACATGGAGTTGCTTGCATTCTCTGGCTGCCCAGCTGACTTCTTTCTAAACCACGTTACAACATCAGGAACAGACGACAAATCAAGAGAGAGGGCATAGTATTTATAGCCTGAACTGCTGTCCTAGGTTCAGCTGTAACTTATTTTTCTCCTTCCTAGTAGCTGGTGCAGTGCTGTGTTTTCAACTTCAGTCTGAGAACAATGCTGGTAGCACACTGATGTTTTAGTTGTTGCTCAGCAGCGCTTACCCTGATCAAGGACTTTTCAGTCTCATGCTCTGCCAGTGAGGAGGGGCACAGGAGGCGGGGAAGAAGCAGAGACAGGACACCTGACCCAAAGTAACCAAAGGGGTATTCCATACCACATCATGTCATGTCCAGGATAGAAATAGGGGGAGTCACACAGAAGGCCCAGATCACTGCTTGGGTTTGGCTGAGTACTGATCAATTCTATCGGGCATTACTTATGTTCATTGGTTTCTTTCCCTTTCTAGTTTCATATTCTCTCTCCTTGTTATTTCCCTTATCATTATTATTAGTAGTTTTGTATTACACTCTAGTTATCAGACTGCTCTTATCTCAGCCCCTGGGGTTTACATTCTTTCCATTCTCTTCCCCATCCCTCTGGGAGCAGAGGCAAGGGAGGGAGGGAGGGAGGGAGCGAGCAGCTGCGTGGTGCCGAGTCACCATCTGGGCTTAAACCATGACAACTATAAAAACCACAGGACAGTACAAACCAGATCCATAATGAGCAAGAGCATCACATTGTTTGGTTCAGCTACAGTGTTTGGTGTTGATACTGCAGATGGAAAATGAAGAGTATCATGTGAATCTGTGGCTGCAATATACAAAGTATTCTGCGTGACAAACAACCATGGCTTTAGAGAAAAATAAATGGAAGAAATGAAAAAATATCAAAGATGCTGCTATGAAAAAGGCATGCCTGTAGTGTAAGAAGATACAACCACCTCTGCTAACCTTGTCTGAACACATCTCCACTGGTCAGTGACTTTGCTGGTGCTTTGGGACACCTCTAGAAAAACCTGCACCAAGCTGGCATATGAAGCATGAAGTAGTGTAAAATGTGGGATGAATGATGAACAGATCTCTTGCAAAAAGCAGCTTTGATGTTAAAAAACATGGCAGAAGAAGATAAAGCCCAGGTGTCATAAAGACCACATAGAAGACTTGTGTGGGGGAGGAATTTATGTTTAACAGTTTAACTGTCAGACTGACATCCAAAATGTGGTATAAAAGTGCAATCTTACAAGTCCTTTCAACAAAGACATTCAGTATTAATGATGTTGACCAATCTTTTGTTCTCACTAATCATATGCTTGGCTCTATTTTGGCTGTGCACTGAGCTTCAACATTTCATGGTCAATAAATTGCACTTGACTTTCTGCTCTTGTGCATTACCTAGCTCAGTATCTCTGGCTAGAGATCACATAACTGTAAGCAAAAATATTCCTGAGTTTCTACACAGTACCACATTTTCTTAATAATAATCCTTTGAATCTTAAGTCTTTTTCATCCAAATGCTGTCCCACTTCATTTCAGAACAATGTAGTTCCAGTCTTACGTGAGACAGCGATCTGCAATGATATCATTACTGCTTAATTTCAATTCTTCCCTTCCCTTCTCCTGTAACAAACACACCTCTCCTTGGTTCAGTTTGGCAGAGACAACAGGAGATGCCTCAGGGTGACAGACAGGCATTATTATCAGCAGCTTCTGTATTTATGGCTGTATTTTCTTTTGCACATTTCACCAACCAGAAGAACAATCTTTCCCCCAATTAAAGGTTATGTGTACAAACAGAACCCACAGTAAACTTTACTACAAGAAAATAGACACTAGACCAGGAAGAAGGAGCCAACCCACATTTTCTTTGTATGAGACTTTTTTTTTCCATATATTATAAAATTATAGTTTTAATAAAGAAGTAGAAAAATATGAAATTACTTGGAAAGTGCTTTCAAAGTACAAGTTCTTCCACAAAAGGCATTAATTATCCAAACTACTACACATAAATTATTCCAATATTCAGAGAACTACTGGGATGGTCCCAATCAATACTGAACATGGAGGTTGTAAAAAAAAAAAACCCACAAAAAAAAACCAAAACGAAACAAAAGTATATTTTGACTAAAATGCCTGTCTCAAACTAGGGAAAGTCACATCTCGGTTACCATTCTGGAATCCAGCTTCACTTGTGTCAGTATCATGTTCCTTAGGAAAGGGAAAAGGAGAAAAAAAATCATTAACAATAGAGTAGAAACTGATCTGATTTTTAGCTAAATTAGACTATTTGAGAAACAGGGAATACTTGTTAGTACAAACGGATGATCTGCTGATAAGCTCCAAATTTTGAAGCATCAAACTTACTAAGAACTATTTCTGCACACAGTAACACCTGTGAGTAACACTGCTGGTTTTGCATCCACACTATAGCCCTGTGACCATTCATGAGGGCACACTGCTTTTAGTCCATGCACCACTGATGAACTGTATTTAGCTGAAATTACCAAAACTACACTTGCATGTATTAATCCTCCAATTAAAATAAATGAGAGAATTAATAAACTGAGCACCACACATGCTACACAGATCAACAGTCCACTGGTCTAATTTATTGTACAACAAACATCTTAACACCTCAGTGTACCTCTTGCCTGTGAGAAGCATAGCTGCTACAAAGATGCATCAGCCCAGTGCTGATACAATCAACTATTCACTTGTAATGCTGTTATTGAAAATACCTGGTTCAGTTTCTTAAACTCAACCACTTGTAAAAAGACGTGCTCCAGGATATGCTTGGCATCTTGCTTCTCCTTTGGGAGTTTACTTGTTACTCCTAAGATATCACCACATTTTCGTACATAAAACTCCAGGTCATCATCAGTACCTAAACAAGCATCCCAGAAAACAAGGCACTTTAATATCACACATCTCTGTATTAACTGAGGAAAAGCTTACTACAAAGCTCTGTTTGGTGTTGGCATTCTGGGATGTTAAGTTCTGTAACTAAGGTGAGTGGACTAGCCATGATGTACTCCAGCTAGGAGTACTCCAGCTAGTGGTACTCCAGTACCACTCCAGCTAGTAGTTTCTCATCTTGTTTAGACTTCAGGTGTATTTAGAATAATCTTCACATTTTAATTTCAAAGCATAAAAATTATAATCAGCAAGTGTGCACAGCAATTCACGCATGATATGGGAAACAGCAGGCAGAAACGTAACAAAATGTCATGTAAGAAACAAAGTAAAAAGGTATGGTACATAAAGTCCTATTAGCAATTTCCAAGACCTTCCAATTTCACAGTTCAGAATGATAGTAGTGGATTTTCATAAACGAGGCTCATGGTTTAAAATCAGATACAGCAATTTTTCCCCCAAAATTTGGACTTTCTATAGAAATGTATAAACAATCAGTCTTTCTGCTTACATTTGTTTGTAATCTCTGCAAGACGAGCTTTTTCAGAAGAAAACATTTCATCCAAGTCAAACAGTTCCAGAGGTGGAGGAGGCAATTCTCTGAAAGCAGGTGGAAAAACCTTGAAGAGAGGAATTCACATGGTTTATTGCCATGTATTTTTTCTACACATCTCTAAGACAACAGTTTGGGACTTAGATTGGACTTAAGAAACCTTTTGTAAAGTCAAATGCAACTCCAAAGCCCACAGTACAAAGGGACCCCTCTGTAAAATAAAAATGAATAAAATATAAATATAAATTTATAAATAAAAATATATATAAATAAATATATAAATAAAAATTCCATTTATATCTTGTAAAAATACCTGAATATTCCAAAATTGTCACAAATATGCCAGAGTCATCACCCAGCATCACAACTAGACATGCTACAATGGCAGTTTGTTTCCAGTTTTGCTCCATGAGACGCAGGTGATGGCTGAGGGAGCTGGGGTACTAGGATCACTGTAATACCTCAATCTGGAAACATATGTCACATTTATTCTGGTAAGAGTATTTTCTTTTGCATGCAATCACCGCATATGCCACAAGGCTGGATGAGGCTTTGAGCAACCTGGTCTAATGGAAGGTGCCCCTGCGCCTTGGGAGGGGCTGGAACAGGGTAAGCTTTAAGGTCCTATCCAACCCAAACCATTCTATGATTCCATGAAGGTGGTCTTGTGTTTTTTAATGGCAGCACATGAGGCTAGTTGCACCCCTGCAGCTACAAGGATCTCAGTGATTACCTTCCTCAGTTGCCAAGGTAAGGAAGAACAGAGCCATGACAGCAAAACTCAAAAGGCACTTGCTTTCCCAAGTAAGTCTGACACTGCCATAGCTCATGTTGCTATTGCCAGCCTCAGTCTCTGCTGGTAAAAGTTTGGCCAGCCCTTGCCGTAAAAGACCAACACTCCACTTTTTACCTCCCCAGATGATTTGGATATGGAAGAAGAGTGGGACAGCCTGGCTCCTCCCTTGGCAGCAGCTAGCACAACTTATAGCACCACTACCTTCTGAACTACAATGTTTTTTTTTCTCACAGCAAACGCTGAACCAGCACCTCACAAAACTGGAAGAAGCTGAAGGTTTATATACACAAGACATTCTGCTGTGGTACCAGGTGTTACATTTTCAAGCTCTGTTGATAAAATTAGAAGTGTAAATAAGTGCTCTTCCCTAACTTCCCTAAAATAATCATCCTGCAATGTATTCAACTCCAAAAGGATTACATATTACTACAGCATTTCTCACTCAAATGGGTTTTGGTTTGTCTTTTTTTGGGGGGGACAGACTGTTGTTTTTTATGTTGTTTGGGGGGGGGGGTTGGGGGTTGGTTGGTTCTTTTTTGTGTGTATGTGTGTGGTTTGGTTTTTTGTGGTGTGTTTTTTTTTTTAAGAACTATGTATATGACACATGAAACAAGGGTTCTCCATGGCTGTATTAGCCAGTAGATTACTCACAGCTGGCTGCAGGACAGGTAGTGGAGTCTCAAATTGAGGTTGAATGAGTTGGAGAGGTTCATGTTTCACATTCAGCTGTTCATAAGCTCTGCAGCACAGAAAAAGACCAAGTGTGAGAGAAGAAATTACAACATCTATTTCCACTTGCAGGCTAGAGAGATGCAGTCCCTATAAGATTATGCACAGTCATAGCATAATACCTCAGGAATATCTGATTTTAGAAGGACCCCAGAGAACTTACACATGAGTAATAACTGACTTCTACAGCAAGCAAATTAGTGAAAATTACAAAGAGTAACAATAAGTTGATATGTAAGATGATAAAAAATAAAGGTACTGCACCTCTGTAGTTAAAACAACTTTTAAATAGAGGCATCAGGACAAAGTGATCCCATTGAAAAAGAGCAGACATGGGACTTCAGAAAGACTTTTCAGGAATTCCACTAGGAAAAACTATCTAAAAAATGTTACAGAATCAGGAGATCTCACTATGAACTCACATCTAGTGAAAATACAAAAAATACAGAGTAAGAAGAAAGAGCGTCCGCAACAGAGTGGAATTTAATGGAATCTGTTTTAAGGCTGCTGCTACTTAATGTGTTCATACATGAGCTGGGCAACAAAGGATTTTTGAGGGACAAAGCTGCAGCAGTACAGACCTGGTAAAACAGTAGCAATCTTCCGACACAATTATTGGAAAATGCAATTCAGTAAACGCCAAGTAATTAAAAAATGTAAAAATAACCAGCTCTTGGTTATCACTCCAGAAAGTGCTCAACATGACTGCAGATAATTCTCCTAAAATATCAGTTCACTAAATCAGCAGTAGTCAGAAAAAAAGAATAAGCAATGTCAGAAACTACAGCTAAGACAAGAAGCAAGAGAAAATATCACTGTTACACTTGTACAATCAACCTTCTGGTACATCCATGTTCAGAATGCTGCCTAGAGCTCAGTCCCACCTGCTTTTAAGCACAAACAGAAAATGCATATATGGGATGGAAAAGGGAAGGGAAAGGAACAAGAATGGAAAGGAAATCACAGCTACTGACTTGATAACTGAAGGAAGGGCAGTTGTATCCATCTGATAAAGGGACATATCAAACAGCTTTGTGAAGTCTCTTGGGTTCTCATCTCCTTCCTGCAGACAGACTCTCAGCTGCTCAGACAGTGCGGCTGTATCTGGGAGCATGGTATAGTCTGAAATCTGAAAACACACACACAGATACACACACTTATGGTTTAAAAAGTCCAACCCATTTACATAGTCTCTCTCTGGTTTATCTCTCACCTGAAGTCTCATTTAGAAATAATTATTTCAATTTTCACCAGGTAGGATCCTTTGCAGCACAGCTTATTAGACTAGGAATCTGCACAAATCTCTCAGCTGTAAAGCTACTTGCCACAGGGCCACTGTTAATTCTTTGGAATTAAAAGAAACAGCTCACTAGTCACCTGTGCAAGACTTGTTCTTTTTATGTACACAGAGGATACAATTTTATCCCGTATGATATTTCCAAATAAAAATAGTGTTTGCATATGTCAGTTACAAAACCCCCAACAAAACCAACTAAAATTGCCAACAGGTTGATCCCTATCCATACGCAGAAAATCTGCCTTCACTTCATGCACCTACATCTTGCCTGAGGGCTCAGAGGAAAGACTTCCACAAATGTAGTCTTGTAAAGAATAGCAACCTAAGTGTGAGAGATACAATACCATTACTTTTTATGCCTAAACTGTCTACTCAATCTTTGACCCTGAATAAAGGGTCTGCAACAACAGCCACCATGCAGCTGTGAACCATTTTCTGCTAAATACATAATTTGTGAAACTGGTGCTGCTACATCCTTATGATGGATCTCTTACCTCAGGATCGTCCTTATTCATCTGGTTCAAATGGATATCTGATGTCGTGAGCCATTGGAAAAGCACATCCTGGAGAAGGGCAAAATTTAAATTAATTTCAGGAGGGTCCAAGTAATCTTATATTATGCTTAAACATTCACATTAAATCCATTCCATAACATACTATGAAAAAGAAGGAAAAAAAGGGTACTATATCAAAGAATATCTATGGAGAAAATAAGAACTTTATTTGTATTTACATAAGGAAGCAACGATTCATGGCAATGAGCACACTCTGTACAAGGTGCATACTTTCCTCAGCAGGAAACTCCCCTTCTTACACAGCAGGTGACATATGCCGCTTTGGAAAGCGCATTACAACCTTCAGGTATCAGGAGCCATATATGTAAAGGTTTATCATTAATCAGTGGCCATAAGGAAGTGCTAAAGAAGCTAAGAAAAAGCAGTAAACAAAAAACTCCAACACACTACTTCAATATTAATAACTAAAGAGGTGAACAGAAGTAGGAAAAACTTTTCAAAGTCCTGTAAGGTAAATAAGAAGCTCCATCTTTAAAAACCTCTTCCTGTTAGTTGCGCTGTGACAACCTCCTCAGGAGGTTCGTACTGGGTTAGAATCTCCATACTGAATCCATTTCAAAGCTGTCTTGCTCTAACATGAAGCTTGTGAGTGAGCCTGTTTTGTTTTGTTTGTTTGGTTTTTTTTTTTGGGGGGGTGTTTTTTTTTTTACTTTTTTTTAAGAAAACCTTAAGGAAAAAAAAGAACCAAACTCCCAAACCCAGACCAACCAAAACAACAAAAAACCATAATCTTACCATAATCTTCCCATTTTCTTCTTTATCTAAATATTGATCACTGAACATGTGGGAAGAGCCCAGCGCTGCCATCTTTCCACCCTGATTCTATCAACAAAGAATACAATATAGCAAAAAAATCTTCCAGATCTTCCAAATCAGTTTTGGGAAAATTGTTAATGCTGCCTAATTAGAAAGTGATTTAAAGAAACCAAGAAATAGGAAAACTTGGAATAAGTAGTGGCGAAAGCAGTTTCAAACTCGGCAAGCTCACAGGAGCACGACACAGCAGCATTCTAAGTGTTTATGCTATTAAGGTTCACAAATTTATTAAAAATACTGATCTGCATTATGTAAGAGTAGACGGACAACTGACCGAGCCTTAAGAAGATACTCATGAGACATCTTTGGAATTCTTCTCTAAGATTACTCTTAATCCTTCCAGGAAGACATACACAAGAAACCGTAAGTTTTCAAGAGGTCAAGGAACCCTGCAATGCTCCTGCACCGACTATGAAACTCATCCCATGATATAACCATACATACTGCTGTAACAAATTTGAAGATACCTGAAACAAAGCTCCAGTTTGTTCAAAAAATGTTTCATGTTTTGTACTCCTTGTTTTGCAAGGTTTTAACCCAAGTTCCACATGCCTTATCCACGATAGCACTTTCAGTTGCTATTCTTTACTGGATCTCTTTTTCATTTTGAGATCTTGTTTTCCTTCTACCAAGTTTCTCTGCTCTGCCTGAGAACTTCTGTCTCTGCCTTCATCTTCCACCCTTGTGCCTAAAATTTCCTTGAGGCAGAAAGGAAAAATTATGCCACCTATTTGACATTCATGTCACAGTACTAGATCAAAGGAAGAACACTTCAGTAATCAACTCATGAACTACACATTATATAGATTTCACTTGCAGCATAATGTAGTTGTTATAATTCTTATAAGAGAGCATGCCCCTCCATACCCACTAGGTGAAGCACATGAGGCCCCACATAAACAGGCAGTCTTGAAATAAGAATGTCAACCAGCAAGGCTATAATCCCAGTAGAGTTCTCATACAGAATCATGGAATGGTTTGGGTTGGAATGGACCTTAAATATTATTCAGTTCCAATCCCCTGCCATGGGCAGCAGCACCTTCCACTGGACCAGGCTGCCCAAAGCCCCATTCAACCTGGCTTTGAACCCATCCAATCTGGCCAAATCCCATCCAACCTGGCCTTGAGTTAAGGCCTTTGCAGAACTTAGATGACTTATCTTGCAAAAAGACAATTTCATCATTAATGCACATAATCTCAGATTATCATGGGTTCAAAACTAGACATGAGTCTGGGGAGTCCATTGGATCTATGTGCAAATACTGTGTGCATGAAGGGATTTTATTATATCTTACTCTGACAGCTGCAGACAAAATGCAAACAGTAAGTGTACTCATACATTCACTTCATGCTGCTGTATTGTGTTTATGGACTTTATTCAGCCACAACATGGGGGGGGATGAACTTGGGCATCCTTAGATGCCCAACTAACAGAGATATCAAAAACACATAGTAGGTTAGAAACTCATCTACATAGCAAAAAATGTGTTCATGTGTTTACCTTTGTCAACAATATTAATCCTTTGTTTGCACTTATTAACTACTACTAGATTTATGGTTGGGTTTATAAGTTAACAGGGCTGGATGGGTTACACTACATACAACATCTACTGGTCCCAAGGTGACAGATCTCTTCCTTAACACAATATGATGTATTGATGAAGCTAATTATAATCTTACTTAATAAATGACCATTAAAGGAGGGGGGGGGAAACAACAAATTTCAAAGAAGAACTAAAAATATCCATCTATCAACCAAAGAACATAATCTTTGCTGACTACCAAATTATCCTCTGAATCCCATGCAAAGAGTTTACCATAAAAGAAGACAGGCTCATCAGGAGTTTGCAGATACATCAAAACCAGAATCATAGACTCAGATGGATTGGAAAAGACCTTTAAGATCGTCAAGTCCAATTGTTCTTCAGCACTGCCAAGGCCACCACTAACCCGTATCACTGAGGGCCTCATCTACATGGTTAGTGAACACTTCCAGGGACAGTGACTCCAGCCCTGCCCTGGGCAGCCTGTTCCAATGCCTGAGCACCCTTCTGGGGAAGGAATTGTTCCTCATCTCCATCTAAACCTCCCCTGGCACAGCTTGAGGCCATTTCTTCTTGTCCTGTCACTTGTTTCTTGGGAGCAGAGACCAGCCCCCTCCTGGCTCCATCCTCCTGCCAGGCAGCTGTAGAGAGCAATAAGGTCCCCCCCGGAGCCTTCTCTTCTCCAGACTAAACTCCCCCAAGTCCCCATCACACTTGTGCTCCAGACCCTTCACCAGCTCCATTGCTCTTCTCTGGCCCTGCTCCAGCACGTCAATGTCTGTCTTGTAGTGATGGGCTCAGAGCTGAACACAGGATTCCGCATGTGGCCTCACCAGTGCCCAGTACAGGGGGACAATCACTGCCCTGGTCCTGCTGGCCACACTTAACGCTGATACAGGCCAGGATACTGTTGGCCTTCCTGGCTACCTGGTCACACTGCAGGCTCATGTTCAGCCAGCAAGAACTCAGTCTGTAAGTACTCCCAGAAGACACACTAACAATTTCTGTGGGGGGTAGGAGAATGCATGCTTTGTTACATGCAGAATCATACCTCATGCTGATAGAAAGCAAGAATAGGCCTGTTGAGCGGGAAGCAGACAGATCCTGTTGACAGAATAGCCACTGCTGGCTTCATCACATTCAGTGTGGCACCAAATGGATACACAAAAGTGAGAGCTCTGCAGAAAATACAGGAACTCTGTAAGTATCTGGTATGGATATGTACCTGTATGGATCAGGTAGGCATAAAACTCAGTGTGTCTGCCTGAAGTACACACCGATTTGTCTTCAGTAAGGAAAAAGGAACACTTGATTTCTGCTAGCACATTCTTGTACCTAAGGGATATTTAACTCACAGATGAATATATATTCTGGAACAAAATTAAAAAAAAAAACAAACAACCCACAACAAAACAAAACAAAAAAACCAAAACCCCAAAACCAGCCCCAAATGGTTTTACATTTACATTTTTCCTTGTAGTCAACCACATGGTCATTTATTAGTTCTAGGAAATAACTAGCAACACAGAATACAAACATTTATAGTTACAGAAAAGCTGTATTCTTCTCAATGCCTCTTCTCTCCTCTGTAGCACAAAGGGATGGAAAAGTAGAAAACTGCAAGAAATGTTTATCTTACCCTGGCTTAAGCCTCTTCAAAAACATGTAGGTCTGCTCATGCCTGTAGCCAGACCACCCCCTATTGAGAGGTTACTCTTATTTACATTGTTTAATCAAATTCAATTCCACAGAATAGGGACAAAAAGATCCAGTTGAGAGAGTAATAATTCCCTTCAAAATCTATCAACTCCTGTTCCTTTGCTGGTTATCAAGCGCTACTAAACAGATCTTCCTTTCCAGATAAACCCTTGAGGAACAAGAAGCTGAGAGAGAAATATACTGGAAAACCTCAACACAAGTACAGTATACTCCTGCTAGGTTACAAACTGGGTAATTCTGAGTTATTCACAGTATTTTCACATCAGCTTTCTCAAGGGAAAACACTTACTGTGAGTCACGTCTGCTCCCATCTTCATCTGTTGTCTCAAGCACTGTTTTTCTTGCAGATTCACTGATTCCCCTACAAGATGTTGAAGAGCAAAACTTATTGAAAACAATACGGACTGTAAGAGTTTAAAGATTTATATACCCCAAATATTTACCTATTCAAAACTCCATCAGAGATTAGTGCTTCTTTTGGGTGGTAGTACTTGTAATATACATTTCGTACTACAGCATCTTGAAGAAAGAAAAAAATTAAGAAATTTACACCTTAGCTGATCAGTGTACTAGATACACCAATGAAACATGAGTTTGGCTCTTGGATTTCCTGAGTGTTTGCTTCTAACACCAGAAAGTTGACGCATGGCTCTCAAAAGGACGCAAATCAGCCTTCACTACTGTTTCCTTTTGAACATCCAGATTTAGAACAAGAATGTATCTGCAAGTTCAAATAAAAATGTGAAAAATAAGCACATCTCCTGCGTCTTCTGCAAAGCAGAAGAGGCAAAAGGATTCAGTAAAGAGTATGTATCAAGTTTTACAAGCAGCAGGGTGCTGGAACTAGATGATCTTGAAGGTCCCTTCTAATCCAAACCACTCTATGATTCTAAGTTAATTCTTTTTTTATACATCTTCCAAAAGCATGATGAATCAAACACTGTTGATGCAAAAAAAGGCTTACTCTAGAAATGCCACCAAAGACCCTGAAAATACTTTATGTACACTGAGATATAGTTGCTTTGTTTGGGTATTTTTCCATATTGGCAGTGGAAAAACTAATGAGTGGCATTCTATTGGTCTCCTAAAGAAAAGAGCCACTGTTTTTTCAGTGTGAGTGATTCAATCCAATAAAACAGATGGAAAAATATTTGAAATGAGAGGCTTTTTATCCAAGAAATGTCACTATAATTAATTTTTGTTAGTAAATACCATTAAATCTAAACTAGAGCAAAGGAAGGGAGATTGGCTATGTTATTAAGGCATTCTGCCCATGGAAAGCCCTTAGTGTGCTCCAGTATTACACTGCCAGGTATATCTAGATTTCAAGAAAAAGAATCTTTTAGACCAACAGGTACTCTGTGAGAGGGATCTGCCTGGCTTTCATCTACAAAGGCTGAACCTGCTCTTTAGATTTTGCTGAGGACAGATGAGCAAGAGCTATCAGTGAGCCCCATTACCATTATTGAAAACAATCCCATACTCTTCTAGCAGAAAGTTAATATTTGTGCCATATCGGGACTCGCCACCTTCTCTCAGCATCACCAGGATGGCTCCACCATCCTCCAGGAATTTCTTCAGAACAGAAAACTGGAAAACAGCAAAGAACAAACGTGAAAAGCTACACAAAAGACTGCAGGAAGTTACAAGGAGAGGAGGGAAGGTGAATGATTCTGATGGCTTGCATTTCACTTATCCTGTGAGAAATTCATATTTCAGTTGGTGTAAATTCATTTAAAGCAGTACAGTGCAAATTCTTCTGGGTTGTTCTTTCTATTTTGCATTAAGCAAATCTTAAAACATACTTAATTTGCAAACAACTACTGACTTCTTACCTCAGCAGCACTGAACTTTAATCTTGGGCCTGCTGTAATCCACAATTTTACCCCAAACAGTTTCTCAGATGTGATCTCATCTTTTAAGCTGTGAATAAAGACATGCATTATTCTTGGATCTATTCCTGGACTGCATCTTTTCTGTCTTTATATAGTTGTTTTTTTTTTAAAGGACTGCCAAACACAAAGCAAATAATTTCAGTCACTTTGCACCTTTTTTTTAAAGTTGACAAGCAAAACCAATCCTTACAAATTTCAACCCACTAAAAGGTAAAGCTTCTCTAACAAGGTACAGTGGCAGATCCAGTACTGGCATAAACTGCCACATCTGCTATTAAACCTGCCACCTAATGAGCTTCCTCTTATTTTTTTTTTTTGCTCTGGACACATTTTGTAGTGGACAGATAGGCAATATCATACGTACAAGGGCTGCTATGTTTTTATCTCAAAACCCTAAATCAAGACAGGCTCAAAACTTGTATCAGAAGTTGCACCCATCTCTTCCACAGATCATAGAATCCCAGCCTGGTTTGTGCTGGAAGGGATCTTAAAGCTTGTCCAGTTCCAACCCCTGCCATGGGCAGGGACCCCTTCCACTCGAGCAGCTTGCTCCAAGCCCCTGTGTCCAACCTGCCCTTGAACACTGCCAGGGATGGGGCAGCCACAGCTTCTCTGGGCACCCTGTGCCAGCGCCTCAGCACCCTCCCAGGGAAGAGCTTCTGCCTAAGAGCTCATCTCAGTCTCCCCTCTGGCAGGTTCAAGCCATTCCCCTTGGCCTGTCCCTGCAGGCCCTTGTCCCAAGCCCCTCTCCAGCTTTCCTGCAGCCCTTTTAGGCACTGGAGCTGCTCTCAGGTCTCCCCTTCAGGAGCCTTCTCTTGTCCAGGCTGACCCAGCCCAGCTCTCTCAGCCTGGCTCCAGAGCAGAGCTGCTCCAGCCCTCTCAGCATCTCCATGGCCTCCTCTGGACTCACTCCAGCAGCTCCACATCCCTCTTGCGCTGCTGCCCCAGAGCTGGATCAGGGCTGCAGGGGGGGATTTCCCAAGAGAATAGCGGGGAAGAATCCCCTCCCAGAGCTGCTGCTCACACTCTGGGGGTGCAGCCCAGAAGAGGGGGGCTTCTAGGCTCAAGCGCACAGTGAAGCCAGGTCATGGGGAGCTTGTTATTGACCAACACCCCCAAGTCCTTCTCCTCAGTGCGGCTCCATTCAGTGCTCCGCAGCGTTTGTCTGTGCTTGGGACTGACCCAACTCGGGGGCAGGACCAGATACGATAGCTGGAAGCTCCAAACTCATCTATGCACAAGCGAATTGCTGCTAATGCCAGAGAGCGCAATCACTGCAAAACCCGATCTTTGCTTATGACGCAACCCGAAACTATTCGGGCACCCAAAAACCATCACATACATCTTGGGATCTCTGCCGTTAAACTAGGCCGGTGGGGTGAGGCGCCCAACCCCTTGCCTCAGGTGCAGCCCATCAGCTGAGCTGGTCACGACACTGCCCCTCACCTCTGAACCTTCCAGTTACCGCGAAGCCTTTTCCGTAGGGATTTGTAGCCGCTGGCGAGAGTGAAAGCCTCCCCTTTGGACGCATTGAAGACGATGGCGTTCCGGAGGCCCCCCTCCATGTGGTGACCCGGGGCTACCACAGGGTGCACCGAAGGACGGCAGCTCCGGCCACGTGAAGGGAAGGGAATGGAAAGGAAGTGAAGGGAACCCAACCCGAGCCCCCGAGCCCGCGCTCCAGACGCGGGCAGCGCGCACCCGCCACCCCCAACCGCCGCGCTCCACCCGGCAACGCGGGACAGCGGAGGCGCATGCGCCGAGTGCATCACCCCGAACGCGGGAGCGCTGCGTCGGATTGCTCCATTCCCCGGCGGGGGGGGGGGGTGTCGGGGCGGTACCACTGCGGCAGGCTGGGAGGGAAGCGGGCCTCCACGCGCCGCCCCGCGGGGCCGGGCACTTGCCCCAGGTGCCCCCCGCCTCTAGGTACCGTGAGGCTGATCCCGGCTCCGGGAAGGGCGGAGCGCTGGCCGCTGAGCGCTTGGGGTCAGCTCCCGAGCAGCCGGCCCCTAACCCCTCAAGCAGCTGCGCCCTGGGCCACAGTACCAGCCAGGCCCCGTGCTGAGAGCCTGAAATGGGGATGCTTCAGACATTTAAGCTGAACAAGGCCCCGTGACTCCGCGTGCAGGCACGGGTCAGGCTACAGCCGCGCTACAGCACAGCGGGGATCCCACCGCTGCCCTCAGCCCTTCCTTACACGCGGGCAGTGGAAGGACAGGCGTGTGTGCGCTTTAATACAAAGCACAGCGTGGTGCAGGTGCCTGCAGAAGGTACAAGGTAACTGGTAAAACAAACGATTGCTGCAGCACAAGCTTAACAGCATGAGCATCGCACAGCTTGTAGGAAACCCTGTGCTTGGGCTCATGGTGCCATGAGCAGCTTACAGCTGATGGAGCTCATGAGCTCCTCCAACCCACAGCAACAGAACAACTTAAAAAGTCAAAAGTGACATTGAGTGAGTACACCAGCATTTAAATTAAGGAAAAATAAATAACGTGTTTGTTCTGCATCAGTGGCATGTTCAGATGGGCACCAGAGTGTGCAGGGTCTCATCAACATGCGCTGTCCTCTGCTCCACCATGCTTCAGGTCATGCTTGTTGCAGTAGTGGTTGTGTGCCTCAGGCCTGTCTGCTGTGAAAGAAGTCCCCATCCCAAGCCACGTTTGGCCACAAGGTTATTTCTGTTTTTTTTCTAAGCAGCTCCGCCCTTTCCTCATCTGGGCTTTTTCTCCCACCAACTGGCTTCTACTTAACAGCCTCATGGTTGCTTCTGCACAGTCCACTTAAAGGAAAGAAGCCAGAGCTCTTGGTAGCGTGAAGAGTTTTCCTCAACTGCTGGGGAGGAGAGGGGGAACCCCTCTGACACAGGTTAGTGCCACACAAAAGATTAAAAAAAAGTTGAGTGGCCAGTTTCAGGCACACGGCTGTTACGTGAGTGATGGCACATACCCCTACCAGAAATACAACCACAGAATGAATACAGTTCTGCCAACTAGCACAAGACAGTCTAGGGGGAAATTATACTAACCAGTGTCTCTCTTTCCCTACCAGGGAGGAAACATTCAGAGAGAAATTCAAACAGCAAAAGTTAAGAGTTAACAGTTCCATCCCAGCCAGTTAGTGTGTTAGTCCCAATTTCCTTAACCATGAGCAAAAGGACAGTACCAAAACCAAGAAAAGCCACACCCACACCCCCCCCAACCCACAAACAAAACCAACACCCCCCAAACATAAAACCCATTCAGTTAAAAAAAAAAAAATCTGACTTCTCAAAGCCTTTGTAAAACCTAGATGCCCTCTTCAGCTGGTGCATAAGAAAATCCTAAAAACGCATCTGAGGCACTGGAGGTGCTGGCTGCTAGGTCAGGCGTGTGGGTGATGGAGGTGGAGATGGCTTCTTGGGTGAATTCTGGATCGAAGTGTCGCAGATCAGCTGGACCAGCCTAAGCCAAGGAACAGACACACACAGTCACTTCAAGTGTGCAGACCCCAACCAGCCACTTGTATTCAGTCTAACACAGCTGCTCTTCCAAGGGAGTCAGCACCTCTGCATCTACAGTTCCCAACCTGGGATTCCTTTTGTACTACTATAACAAATACCAAAAGAAATACTCACCACATTGGGGTTGAATGGAGGAGTTATCCTCTTGTGGTACAAGTCATCCCAGTTTATTGGGCTGAAGAATACATGATTCTTTATCTCAAGCTGCATATAAAGTAAAGGGTGAAAAGTCAGTCTTCTGCCAACCCTTCTTTTTCAGCACCTGCTAGCTGGTTTCATAGGATTAAGTGGTTGAAGCTACTACATATCTGCATAAGGACCATATAGCAAATTCTTAACACATAAGGGTCATGGTCCAGTAATCCCTTGAAGGGAGATGACCATCACACATAGGTGTCCTAGTTTGCAACCATATCTTTCCCTTTGGAAATCCAAGTCAAGCCCATACATTCTTCAGAGGCTGAAGAGATACCAAACTGCATGGAACGCCTTTTCCAAGGTAGTGCTGCTGTCATGAAAGAAAGGCTCAGAATAGAAAGGTTTCCTACCCATCCTCCCTCCTGATCATAATGGAGGCCACCTACGAAATCTGACTTGGCACCCAGCCTCCTCTTCTGGTCCTTGTGGAGAAGTCCCTGGAGAATGTCACAAGCTGCCACAGTCTTACTTCCTTGGATCTGGAGTGGCTTGTGCAGAATGTTGTCATACATCTGAGACACATCCCGGCTGTAAAAAGGAGGCTAATTTGACAGAGATGAGAAGCAGCCATGCGAAACATGAGCTACTGTAATGAATGGCAGGTCAAAGCAAGTCCTGCAGCAAGCAGATGAGGGAGACCTGCCATACCGCTGTTCAGAGGGGCAATGGTGTGCTGAACTATGCCATCTAACTCTGGATTCAGTTGTCTGTGACAGGTACCATGTGAACATCAGACCAACCTCGCACCACTACTTTCAAAATTAATTTCTCCACCATAGAGAAATTCTCACCAGGGGGATTCCCAGCCCATGGCAGGGGGTTGGAACTGGATGATCTTAAGGTCCCTTCCAACCCTAACCGTTCTATGACTCTATGTAAAGTAAAAACAGATTGCTTCCAAACTTACCAATCCAAACAGCATTTCATAGAGGACAGCTCCTAGGCACCACCAGTCTACTGTCCTGTCATACGGCTGCTTCTTTAGCACCTCAGGAGCCAGGTACTAAGAAGAGTCGGCAGCAAATATTTTAGTCAGCTTACAAAGGAGGGGATTTGTCCTCGTAAGTATGCAAACCTGACTGCAGTTCAAGCTCAGCAAATGCATTAGGAAACACACAGATCCATATACTGCTATGCTTTGATATACTCTCCACTTGCTTCGGAGCAAAGAGTTTGAAAGCTACCTACCAAACCCCGCAAAGTTTTTATGGGTTACAGAAGGTTTTTTTCCTGTAGAGGATTTGTACAAGGATTTGCCGCGCACCACAACTAACCATCAAACCCATCCTGCACTAGCACGTTACACCTTTAGGAGGCTCCCGTGGTTTTGAGAAGGCTGCAGTTTGCAGTCCCCTTAAGACTGTCGAAAGCAGCAAAACTGCCAGCAACCACTACCAAGAGCAACAGACAAAAACTGAAGCAGCACGTTGAGCCTCGTCTCCCACAGGATTATATTTGTATACTAATCAGGCTCCCACCAAAAAACACATCCCTCCCACCCCCACAAAAAAAAAAACACAACCAAAAAACCAACAACCTCCCCAAACCAAGCCAAACAAACCCCCCACATGACAAACAAAGGAATGCAGGGCCAGGCCAAGGGGAACGGCTTGAACCTGCCTGAGGGGAGACTGAGATGAGCTCTTAGGCAGAAGCTCTTCCCTGGGAGGGTGCTGAGGCGCTGGCACAGGGTGCCCAGAGAAGCTGTGGCTGCCCCATCCCTGGCAGTGTTCAAGGGCAGGTTGGACACAGGGGCTTGGAGCAAGCTGCTCTGGTGGAAGGGGTCCCTGCCCCTGGCAGGGGTTGGAACTGGATGAGCTTTAAGGTCCCTCCCAACACAAACCAGTCTCCAATTCTGTATGATTTTATTGAAACAGCCCTGCTTGGTTCAGGCCTTGCTATTGTACAAGTGGGTCCATACTGAAAGCCAAGGGCTACCACCAGGAGATTCCTGCCCATTCTACTCAGCTTGAATACTGGAAGGTCCCTTGTTTACAGACCCTTCTTTATGCTGTCTGAGGAAGTACAGCAGAACAGCTATATTACCTAGGCCAAAACACTACCAAAATCCCCAGCTCAGTAAACAGCAGGAAAAAAAAACCTCACAAGAAGCCAAATCTGAGATAGGTTTTAGCAAACCCTAACTGAGGTGTGTTGGAGAAAAGGCATTTCCTCCCCTCCTATCTGAGCAGTGTCCACATTCCAGATAAGAGCCTGGTACTCTCCTCTGCACAGGGTGTTTTGCAGCTCCTGCATACCAATGACAAACAGGAGAGCACAACAAGGTCCTATGTGTGCCAGTACCAACTGGCTCCCTGTTCTGCAGCTCCAGGGTATCAGATTAGGTAAACAGCCTGCTTACAGGCTTGCTCATGGGCTCCCAGGGTCAAGGCTGTCTCCGCAGCCACCTCAAACACCCCCAGTTTCACAAGACTGGCCCTTTCCAATGCAGGGTTCCCTACCCCGGCAGCACAGTTGTCACAGGTAAAACTGCTGAGGCCTTATCTGAACTCCAGCTTCAGGCTGACCTCAAAGAGCCCACAATAGTCTAATTCACAGAGCCCATATTTTGGGATGCTGAGCACCCATGCAAGTCAGACCCAGAGCAGCAAGTCTCTGAAGGCTTTCAGCCCCAGGTCACAGAAAAACCCCAGCACATGCTGTACCTCAGGAGTGCCACAAAAAGTAGAAGTTGTCTCCTCTTGCTCCATTCCTTCTTTACAGAGTCCAAAGTCTGTCAATACTACGTGTCCCTAGAAAAGAGAGAGGTATTTTGGCTTGGCCTTCTCTAGAGAAGAGACAGGATTGCCACACATTTGCCTTCACGTTGCATTTCATGTATGTTTTGATTCCCCACTGCTCATCTGCTTCCCCTCCCTCACCTTCTGGACATCTTGTAACACAAGTATGGGAGTTGACAGAGAAAG